AATGTTTGATGTGCGGCAATTTATGAAATTTTCCTTTCTTATTATTTTTTATAACATAAAGGAAGGCATTATAATGTAAAAAGGAAGTGAAAAGTGATAACAATTGAAATTTTATGAACATAACTTTTTGTTGTCCAAAATATAAATCATTTTTTCCCCTCAGTATTTCTTTTTTCACCATTATGTTATTATTTTATTGTAGAATTTTCCGACATTGCCGTTGTGTAGTAAATTACAACAAAATTAACACATTATTCATTAATCAAATGTGACTGTTGTTACCGTTACTACCATGTTGTCATGTACATACATACACACAATCATAAGTATTTTCCACTTTCCAAGGCTTTTTTTAAAAAAAATAATATAAATTATTGTTCTCACTGCCACCGACACCACCTACCTTAACATCGTTAAAAAGGCATTATTATTTTAGCTTTACTTGGAATAGCTTAACATTCACATTGGAGACTTTTATGATTAAACAAATAATATAAAAGAGCAAAAGAATCATTAAATCTATACATGTGCTGTTAGTGAATCAAGACTTTTATTATTTGAAATAAATTTTTACCTAATAATTACACTTTTTACTGTTATTGGCCTCAACTATGAACTGTAAAGTTCCATTCTGTGTCGCAAGAATAAAAATGGAAATATAAAGTGTAAGGAATAAAGAAGAATAAAATATTATACAACCATTTTCCATCGATTTTCATTTTCATTATAATATTTATATTCATCCCTTCTCGTTGTTATATTTTTATCGCGTTTTTTTTCTATTTTCGTTATGACTTACTAAGGTGTTTTGATGTGAATAAAAATAAATAAATAAATGGATGGATGTATGTATGCAGGGAAAACAAAACAAAAACAAAAAGAAGGAAACGAATGATTTTGAACAGGGAAAAATACTTAAAATGCTAACGCCTGACTGCAAAATTATGAAACTTTTGGTGTTGCTTTATATTTTTCACTTGACACAAATTGAGAATCGATTTAAACATTTCATCCTGCATTTGATTATAATATAATGAAATGAAATTATTTTGATTTTTTTTCTCTTACGCATTTTTGCATATTTTAGAAAAGATTTTTATATTTTTATTTGTGCCTACCTGAAAATTGTGAAAATTGTTCTGACAGTCTTGCTGCTTATTTTCGAATGAGCTGAATTTTTTTTCGAGGGCTTTCAATGAATTTTTAAGTGGATTTTAATAATTTGGGTGAAAGAAAGTTGACAGGAAAAAAACATTTTTTGCGATTTATAAATTGTCTTTAAATTCCATTGTTGATTTGACATTAAATATTCCATAAACAGTATATACTGCCATTAATTGATTCATCTGCAATAGTTAATCAATTGTCAGCATAAAAGTCTTTTCAATAATTTTTTTAAGCTTTATAGTCTGACCTATTGTCACCTATGTTTGCCTATATGCATTTAAATAGGGTAACTTTTTCATAAAAGGAATTGTTGACACATTTTGTCTGGCGTTGCGATGTTAAAAATAACAAAACGAGCACGTTCGACATTAAGATCAGACCTCACATCGTTCACGTATCTGCTCTTTTCTATCTATGCATATATGAATGAATGAATGGATGAAAAGCACATTCCTCTTAATGCTAACTGTCTCCATTTCTTTTTCTCCCTTTCATTTTTCGATTTTCATTCAATTTAATTTGTGTTTTACTTTACTTTACTGTCAGTCAAGGATTTTTATCACTTTTCTTATTTTTTCATTTACCATTTTATAGAAAAACAGAAGCTTCTTGTGTTTGCACAGAAATTTATGTTGAATACTCAAACAGCCTGGCAGAAATGTTTGTTATTTAACAATAGTCTTTAATTGCTAGAGGTTATTTTAAGCTTATAGTTGAAGTTGAAAACTAGAATTAAAAGATTTTGTTAATCTTATGAACTTTTAAATCTTAATGCGTCAAATAATGTGCCATAATTTATTTCAGTTCTGACTTTTTTCCATCTTAAAAAAAACTTTTATTAGTATGAATGATCTTAAAATGTAGTTTCTCAATTTATGGTTCTCAAATCACATTGTTAATGGAAAAATTCTTTAATTTGGTGGGGTTCATTTGAGAAAGAAAATAAAAAATCTAAATCCCAACAAAAAAATTTACCTCTGGATGATCCTTAAAAATTTGGGAACCACTTTTCTATATATCACAAATTTAAATATCTTCATTTATTGTATGGACGTTTAAACAGGAATAGATACACTTTATTTTTTTTTAAAAAAGTAATAAAATGGAAATTACTCAGGGGTCGTTTGAATATTACGGAACACCTAAAAAACTTGAGTTTTGTCCTCTTCGTAACAAAATTGTTTAAAATTTTAAATAAATATATTGAAGTGGAAAGCTTTAGATTAAATTTAATGGAAAAAAATTTAAGAGATAAACTATCTGTAAATAAAAATATATATCCAATTTTGTCATGAAAACAGGATAACGTTGGGCTCAAGAATAATTTCAACAATTTTTCACATTGACTGAATAATCATCATGTTGCTTCGTAAAAAACATATAAATTTATGTGTGTGTGTATATGTGTGAAAAACGGATGAAAAATTATAAAAGCCAAAGACAACAAAGATATACAGAAGGGATAGAGGGAGACAGAGGATAGAGATGTTTAAAGAATTATTTATGCATAACAGACTGCGTAAAACAAATTTGCCATGAAATGCAAATATTGACAGTCAAATTTTTTATTACTTTTCCATTCGCTACATTTTATGTATGTGAATGTGTCGTTATAGGCATAAGCTATCCTTAAATTCAGCACATTTTGTGACATTCCCTCACGTTCAAGAACGAAAATGAATGAATGGATGTGTGTGCAGTAGCGAATAAAAAAATAGTCAAAGATAATAAAAATTTATGTTTGTTGAGGAGAAGAAGACAAGTAACTTTTTGTCAAGAAATTGCCACAGATGCTTTTGATGATTTTTAAAAACGACTTTCTCTCCTTTTCGTATTCTCTAATCCTCAAATCTTCCCACTGCTAAATATGTTAAGGAAGAACAAATAAACGCCTGAAAATTCAATTAAAAATTTTTGTTCTTAAATTTTCATTTTTTACTGCTTTATTTACATTTTTCTTTTGGTTTGTTTTCATCATTTCTACATTATAATCATGTTTATATTCGAAGGATTTATTTTGTCTTAAAATTTTCATCATTTTTATATCTCTATTCATATGTGAAACATAAGGCAATTCATTGATTTTTTTTTGTTTATATTTACGTCACTTTCAAAACTTTTTATCTTTAATCATCATTATCATCATTATCATTGCAATTATTTTCATATATTAACACACTTCATTACCAATTAAATTGATATATTCGCTCTCTTTCACACACGCACATCTTATTTTTGTATACATAACCAAACCAACACATATGTCATGTTGGGTTGTATTCAGGGGGATTTTGATGTCTTTGGGTATTCTAAGTCAACCCAATATTTTCTTTGAATTGGATTAATATTCAATTTACTGTAATATTTTTATAAAAATCTCTCGGACCCCCCGATTACACTCCGACCAACATATGCTGTGGGTTTGTGTGCATTTAATCATCATCTTGTCAATAAAAAACTCTTTCTAGCATTTATGTCATTATTATTGTTATTATTATTTCTCGATATTATTTTATTACCATTTTGGGTAATTAAACACTCTTAGTTGATTAATGAAATTTATGAGCTTAATGAGTGAGTTTAATCTGATTTGTTATTTTTTATGAGCTTCAAGGGATAAGAAACTTTATTAAAATTTCTTTACATGCTCATTTTGTATATTTAGTGGTTTTTTATCAAAAAACAAAAATTTTCAAATTATTATTTTATTGTTGATGCTTTACGTCCTTTTTTAAGAGACAAAATTAAAAATTTTAATTTATCAGCATTGAAATTGAATATTGTCACATTATTATTTCATTTTATTGTTTAATTAATTTGACGATGCTTCCATTAATGATGATTTAAATAAATACCGATGACAATGATGAGATAATTTGATTCAAGGAACGGACATGTTTGATTTAAAACTAATTTGTCACATCTCAGAGATGTAAGTTCTAAACCATAAAAATGAATTTTTATCTACAGCTTGGATTAAATTAAGTGTATGTCTTACAAAGGCTTTCACACTCAGAATTGATCCCATAAATACCTTAACTAGGAATCCAGGTATTTTTAAATTCTTGCTTCATCTTTTGAGTTTTTTGGGATTAATCCTAAGTGTGAACGCCTTATTCTTTACTCGAATAATTCATGCTTTGTTGAATATTTGCAATTTCTATGAAATTTTGTATACTTTAGTTTGATAAGACGATGATTTCAATGTTTTTGCTTTTCAGTTGCTTCAAAAAATTATTTTACACTAAAATTTTTCATAACCTTACTCGTCGACTATTTATTTATCACCACATCATTTTGAACAGAGATTCAATATACACAATATATTTATATTAATTTATTAGTATAATTCAATAATAATCATAATCAATTAATTAATAATAATTTCCTACTTGTATTTCATCTGTAGAAATAAAACATTTGCTGGTAATTATTATCGGTTTGAATAATTATTTATGTGTATTAATTAATTTTACAATGGAATATTTATGGATAATAATTTGAAATAAATTTATTTTATTTATTTCATTTTTTTTTCGTATCCCTTGATTATGTACTTCGTATGTAGCACTACTATAATTTCAGTTCATCATAAGTTCTATTAACTTTATCAGCAACATAAAGTTCATCTAATCATGTTAATCATAAATCATTCATGATAATATTAATAAAGAAAAAAAAAGTACTTTAATGTAAAAAATTCGTTTGTGTTTCCATTATTTCTGCTACATTACCTTCTATGTACACAATAGTTAATGTATGAATAGAAAAAGTCCCCTAATTAGAAGCTCTCTTTTGTTAAATTTATTTCTATCTTCATCCGGATATGCTAATTATATTATTAAAACATTAATTAGTAAGATTGCTATAAGGATAATTGCAATTGGCATTTTTAGACTCAACGCGCTGCTCCTCACTGTAAAAAGAAACAATAGAATAGAAAATATAAAGCTTTAATCATTCATATTGACTAAGTTCATTATTAGCATTATTACCAAGCAGCATTGCTTCTCTACTATCCATTGATGATAATCGTCTATGAAGTACACTCTCTCTGCCATTCTGTAACAATGGTGAGAGATTGGCTACACAGCGTACCCTCATCACGCCATCGAAGAAATGCCTTCCATCGACAGGAATGTTTAAACCAAGTGATGATGTTATTAAACCATGTGCATGATACATATCACGGTAATTTGTTAGATAATTGCTGTTCATAACCTACATATGAAAATTGAGGAAGTTTATTTCTTATTAGTAATTGAGTTATTTTGCTGGAGCACCCACTAAAAAGTTGATTGCGATTTTGTTATAAAATTCATGCATCTTAATGCACGTTCTTTAATAACAGACATGTAATGTCTATCTTCATGTTAAATTCAGTTTTCCTGTTGATCAATAATTTCACAGAAACACTGAAGTAATTACTTCTGAGTTGAATATTTTTTTGTTTAAAAAAAATCTTACTAATTTTCATAATGTGCTCGTTGCATAAACAAACAATGGAACAATTTCTGCAGCTGACATTTATAAAATGTAAACCTAGTTGTTGAAATTTCCAACAAAACAAAAGTAATTAAGATTTTTTCAAATTATCTGTAAAAGTTTTGCATTTTTGCACAAAACTTCAAAAAAGTGTCAGTAAAAATTAACACAACACCGACAAATGCTGAGGATGTAAGAAGTAGTTTTAAAAAATACTGGAAGGTATAAATTTTTATGAAATTTTCATCATCATTTTCACAAGGAAAAAAATAATAATAATAATTTGCTGTGGTAAAACTGAATGAAAAAAGTTTTTTGTATATTTTTACTGACTTCATAATTGAGATTCATCGAGGCTGCTTGTAAAATTAATTTAGCGCAAAAATTCTCACAATATAAAAGGGAAACTGCTTGTAGTTGAGGGTTGAAAAAGGGGGAGAAAAAAAAAGTTTTAGTTTTATACTCTAGATATGAAATGCAAATTTATTGCAAAGTAGCTACCAAAGCATACAGAAGAGGTAAAATAACAAATAATAATTCAGGAAGAGAAATTTCCTGAAATTTACTTAGCAATATATCCATCCAAACATAGCTCTTTTGCTCTATCTGACTATAGTTAACTGTAGCTCCTGTCTACCTTCATTTATGATAATATTTATTTTGCTTTTTAACATCAGCAGTTCTTTCCCAATTTTTCTCAACTACTTTCACATCCTTTCTAACGTTTCCACTTCTTTCCTGTAGGACTCACTCAATATTTAGTTATAAACTAGAAATCCGTACTCCTATAACAATATTGTTTAAAGTAAAGAAAATATTGGATATAATGAGCTTTTGTGGATTTTCTGATGAATTCACAGTAATTATTCTTAAAGCTAGCAATTCTTTAAAGCATTCTTAATTAAAAAGTATTGAGCTAGTTTAAAGAGATACTCAATATAAGGGCGATAGTAAAATCTAATCTGATTAAATTTTTAAAAATAAAACAAATTCGGTGAAATAGCATCAGGAGCCTAAATGGTAGAGCGTTGGCATTCCGTGCCAAAGGTCCTGGGTTCAATCCCAGGCCATGTCTAATTTTCGAAGCTCTTTTTCCTTTACATTGTTGTAGTTACGAAGCTCGGTTCGTGGGTGTAGTATTGATGTCTTTGGCACAGAATATGCCTCTTTTGCTAGGTTTACAAAGATATAATAGCATTTGGATGACTTTCTTACGGCATCTTGCGCTCACGAATTGTGACTAGGTACATTGCAGCGTACATCAGGTCTTATGACGGACTCGTGTCTTTGCAATGTGCAGAGCTTGTAAATAGTTCGGATCCCACTGTAAACTGTAGGTCTAAAGGGTGTGGTACAATAGATTTTTTACAAATTGAATCACAGTGCCACCAGCTGAAAGGCTCGGCCCTTCACCCATTATTATACTATTATTATAAGTTTAAATTTATACTTCTTACACAGATTACCTTTAAAAGTAAGACAAAAAATTTGTGATTATTCATTTTTGCTATAAAGTTTCTTTCATTGTGCTTAAGTATTGTAAAACTTAACAACATAATGAATTGAATTGTTGTGTGCGTATAATGACTTCCGTTTCTAATTTTCAAGAAAATTAAAAAGGAAAATATGCAGAACCTTATCTCTCAACATTAATTTGATTTACTTGGCATATTCTGAAAAAATTATAAGAAAATTTGTGTGGGAAAGGAGGTTGGATAAGGATTGGCAGGCAGGAAGACAATATTATCCTTAAATTTCCCCTCATTATTTTTTTAGATCATAACCTTATGAGTTCTTCTGCTTATGACTGCAAAATGTGTAGCTTTAAATTAATATTTAATTTCCAACCTCAGCCCCGCCGTCGTTTATGATTCTTCATCATAAATTCTTTCCTTCATATGTGCACATTAATAATTTTTCATATTGCCTCTGTTGCTGCTTTTAAAGAAAAAGAAATTGCCTCTTTTCAACTCCGCGATAAATACCATGACTCATCCACAATTTCAACTCATTCTCATACCTTCATACTTATATTATTTAGCTAACATAAGGAAGAATATAAAAAACGCTTTAATTTAATTTATAGTCAGTCAAGTGATTTAAAGCTCCTATCCATTCAATAGGAGAAAAATTTAAATAGCAGAGAAAGAAGTGCCGCATGAGAATTGACCTGTAGCATTAGTGCGTCTTTACAGTATTTATGACTTCTTTGCTATCTTCACATCATAATCATGATTTATCGTTTCATATGAGGGTTGTAAAGCTCTCTGAATAGAAATAATATATTTTCTGTATACATAAATGAAGAAGTAATTCTGAGTCAGCAAACGATGGACTACTTTTTAGTACTTAAATAAATTTAATTTACCGCGCGTACACAAGAACGAATGAAATGAAGCACAGGAAGAAATTACAACATTAAAGAAAAAAAAAATTGAAATATAAATTCAGGTGTGTTAAGCTTACACATAAACGGATGGAAGTTTAATATCTTTTAGGGGCCGGCCGCAAAAGAAAATATTTTCAGAGTGCAAAAGGAAAAATATATAAAATAAAAATCTGAGGAATTTGCGCTTTTGTATACATATCTTAATGTTATAGCTCCCTTTTGCGGTGTTTTAGTAAAGAAAATATTTTCATAACACATTTCTTCAGCTTTTGCTGTTTTTACTGCTGAAAATTTCTGTTTTTCTTTTAGGATTTTTTTTTCTGTCAATCAAAAAGTAGGAATATCTCGAAAAGTGAGAAATAAACAAAAACAAGGAAAGAAAATATGAATATGGAAACGAAAATGTTTTTTTGTGAATTTTTAACATAATTTCAACTTTTTGAGGGCAGGTTTTTTTTAATTGAGAAAAAAATTCAACTTTAGTCTATTTGAAATCAGAAACAAGATCGGCTAAGGGGCCGTTTACTTATGACGTCCAGGAAGGGGGATAGGGCCAGCAAGAAAAGAACAATAGAAATTCCTGAAATTCCATTGCTATTTTTTGAAAACTGACCGGCAATATTGGACTTCATAAGTGAATAACCCTTAATTTATATTACCCAAAAAATTGTAAGACCCTGAGAATAATGCAGGTATCCCTCTTAAACGCCAGAACCTAACATTCTATTATTAAACCTTATCTTGGTAATCTTGAATAAATGAATAATAATATCAACCTAGTATAAATTTTCATTACAGATTTTATTGCAATAAAATGTCAAAAATGCAATTTGTAAAACTAGAGCGTTAAACATGTAAATACAGACGTTTTAAAAGCAAATCTCAAAGTAATGAGTAACTTTTTTTATCATAAATTAATCACAAATGTTAATGACGGAAAGTCAGAAAGTTATTTGAAATTTAGTGTTCTGTAGGTTTTTCTTTTCTGTTTTAGCTTCCACCAAAAAGTCGTTTTTCTTACCAAATAGGATTACATTTTCATTTCTAGTAATACATTTGGCATGAGCTTTAATTACTCTTTTTAACTCCGTTGCTACAATTTTCTTGTTTATGCCAAATATTATCTACAATTCTGAATGTGAATGTAAATGAAAATGAAGATTATAGAAAATCGTAATAGTTATAATAATAAAAAGTGGTGAATCTTGATTAAAAATGCCAAAACTGTATATTGGAGTTGGATAGTAAAAAAACAGCAAGCAACTAAAAAAAAGAAGAAGAATACGGGTGAATGTTCAGCCATAAAATTTTTCCCGCTACTTTTCATAAAAAAAAAGAAACAGAGTGAGAGAGAGAAAATGAAGTAAGAGAAATAATGGAAAAACAAAAGCCCATAAAAACGAAAATATGTCTATGGGAAATAATTTATTTGAAAACTTCCATCGCTTATGTTGTTTTTCTTTCCTTTCTCATTTTGCTCGTGTTTTCATACACTCGAAATTGCATGATTTCAGGTGATTAAATAATCAGACTGTGGCACATTGAAATACACTCACACACTCGCACAATTCAGTCTTCTGTTCTTTTAGTGATATTTTTGTTGTTATTTACTTGCCTATCGAATGGCAGCAGTCAGCAGTCACTATACATAACAATTTTGTGAATGTTTTTGTACGAATGATTTCGCACCGCGCCATTGAAAATGCGAAAAATATTTTTATTTTAATTTTTGCGAAACTTTTAAAAATTCATGTTTTTATGCTGCTCATATTGTTTGTCTGTCTAACTTTATAAGACACTTAGGTACTCTTAATAAAAAGTCAAAATTGATTAGCTATTGTCTAACAAAAGGTATGATAATAGGTTGAAAGCATGTGAAAATTCTCATTAATTTAGTAAACCTGTATTACTTTTAACACACAAGTTCATTCTTGTTGCTCAAAAGGCCATGACAGAAACACAATTAACCCACTTCTAACGACTTTATTACTTGATTATCCTTTTATATTGTGGCAGTGTGAGAATGAAACCGAGCTGAAATTCTTTAATCAAGCCATGTCCATAACTTAACACAAGGATTTTTCATAATAAACTATAGAAAAAAAATGTTGAGGGGAATATGCTTATATATATTTCCACTTATCAGATTATTTAACGTTTTCTAATGTAATAAAAAAATTTTATGTGCCTTCTATTATTATGAATGAGCTTTCTAGTTTCCCCAAAAATAATTTTTCTTTTCCTTCTTCTTCACGTTTTTTATTGTATTTTTTTCATAAATTTATTTTCATCATCAGACTATTATACAATTTATACAATATAAAGTATAAACTCATAGAATATTATATTATAGAAAGGTGAGGTGGGAATGGCAGACTAACCAAACCTCAAAACACAATGGATGAAAGAAATTTTTTTTTGATTACTGTGAAAATTTCGTGTGGCAATTGCAATAAAAAAAGAACTTGTAATGGCCTTTCTAGAAGCTAATTCACTAATTAGAAGATAAAAAATATTCGTCGATGGAAAAGAAATTTTCTCATGGGAAAAATTATATCCGACGTACGCAGAAACAATAGCAAGTGTATTAAGAAGAAAGTAAAGGAATTGATGTCGTAAAATTCTAAAATGCCATAAAAAAGCGGAAATTTTCTTTCAACATCATTTTTTTGGTTTCCTCTGAAGGGTTCAGAGAAAGGGAACTTGAAATTTTTTTATTAGACTTAGAATATACATGTTATGATATGTATGTATGTAGCTTTAACATATAGTAGACTTCAAATTGTTTAACTCCATTAAACGGGTGGAATCTCGCACAACCAAACGCCTTTAGATGTTGATTGTAAATTTAAAGCAATAGGCGGATGTTGTGTGTTTTGTATGGCATCATAAAATGGAGCTAAATCAAAGCCTTTTTCTCTTTATTATTACATATACACTTACGGTTTATATAGTCGAAACATATTTGTCTTTTCAGAAAATTTTACACAACAATAAAATCCCATAAATTACACTTTTCCTTATGTATGTTTCTCGAACGATAAAGGAGAGAATAGAAAGAAGAAAACGGAAGAAAAATGAAAAAATTCCGGAAGGGAAGAGAATTTTTTCCTTTTATTTTATTCCTGCTGATCAGGGGGTTGCTTTTAACTTGTTACGTCACATAAAAGTGAAGTTCATACACTTTGCCATTTTCCGATTCCAATTTCTTGTCTCCTTCTGTTTTCATATCTTATGCTCGATATAAATAATTCTTGACGTTTAAAGAAGAAAAACTTGAACTTTGTTCATTAAACAATTGACTCAAGTTATAATTTTGGAACCGTAGATAGAAATGGACAGTTTTGAAATGATTATTTGTCATGAAACTATTGAAGCTTTAAATAATTTTGACTTGACGGAACACATGTATGAATTAAAGTCTGTATTAAGATAAGGTTGATCAGTTGAAGTCGAGCAACGCAAAGAATCCATTAAGACTCCAAAACCTTTTTTCTATTAACACTTGAAGCAGGACTTAAAATTTTTAATTTAATCCACGCGACACTATTCTTTAAGCTTTAGCTTTTGAATGTTATGTTCATGCACACTTTAATCTCACTGCATATGTTCTTTATTTATTCTTTAGCATCTCTTCGTGAGAATTCTCAATTCACAAATTGTAATAGATAACAAGCAATTTTTGCGCTGTTAAAAAGGACATGTAAAATGTAACAGCACTTTCTAAATAAGCAGCAATCGCAATAAAGAAGAATTTTATATTCCATTATTGTATCATAAAAATAAATTTGTGAACGCTTTTGAATAAATTGTAATTACGATTTCAATGTTAAGATATGCGATTTCGTTTTTTGCCACTTGAGACTATTCTATATATAAAAATTGTGTGTGTGTTTGTATGTGGAAGCGATCTTGTAATATTTTTGCACATCTCCCCATCTCACATTGTTTTCGCTGTGCGTTTTCATGCTTTGTTTCTTATCTTAAGTGCGCCTCAGATCGAACAAATAGCAATTGTTTGTCGCACTTTGTCAATGTGAATATTTCCGGCAGAATTACTTTTCCTTCTCTTTTTTTTCTTATTACTTTTTGCTTTTATTATTCTCACATTTACAAAATGAAAGAATTTTTCCTGCTTTACAGAGCGCATAGAATAGAAAGGAAAGGTGAGGGATGACATAAAAGAGAGAATGAACATTTGAATAAATTAAGGTGTCATGATATAATGAAATTGACATTTTTATACACACACTTTTCCTCTGACCGTAGAGAGCTTAAGGACAAGACCTTACAATTTAGCACTTACTTTCATCTAATTTTGATAAGAATAGAAACAGAATAGAAATTTATTTGAGGGTAGTAAAATAAATGCCTCGAAGGATAATTTGATGACTTTTTGATTGTCCTTACAATAATACACTGAAGAATGAACGGTGTGGAATGTTAAGTATACAGTAATCTCATATTGGCTTTTGTGTGAATTGACTCAAGGGACACATTACTTGATCTCACCTTTATTTTATCTCTTACAACTTCCTTTTTCCTTACTAGATATTGTAATATCTTAAGATGTTTTGCTTGTTTTGTGAAATTATTTCGGATATTCTTAACTAGCATATGAAGTAGATAAAGAAATTATTAAATACCCCTTTCTTATATACGCAACTTAACCATACACTTTATATCATGAACGCACAACAGCATGAAATATTTTAAACAAGTATAGAAATTCACCATTAATGCACGAAAATTCTTCACTGTGAAAGCAAGCCTGTGATAAAAAAAAAACAACGAAAGCAGCATTAAACTCAATTCACTTTGCACGTCAAAAAGGGATTTAAGAGATTTTATCATTAAATCATGAAACATTAAAATAATTTTTTGCGACATTTTCATAGCGTGAAAAATCAATTTTCTCTTTCACTCTCTCTTGAGCATTTAGACGGGAATTAAAAAACTGAAAATAAAAAATAAAATTTATGTGAATTTATTCAGGTCAGGCATTAGCATTTGCTCGCGTCCAACCAAAAAAATACGTAGAAGAAAAACAAGAAAAATTTCTAGTCTTATGCTTTGTCGTTTTAATTTGAATTTAATGAGTGCTATGTATTTTATTTTGCACCATTAGAGGCCACAGTGAATCATGAGTCCGAAGTTTTTAGAGATTGCGATTGAGAGGTTGGCAAAGTTTATAAAGGTTATCAATTTTTGAATTTTTTTCATTCTTTGGGTCTTAACATGTCTCTGTTTATATTAAAATTAAATAATTTGATTCAGATGACGTAACGCATTAGTCCCAATGCTCGCTTATTGTTAGGTAACAAGTGAGAGACCCTTAAAATTAACACGTCCATCAAATCAAACTTTACTGCTCTGCTTATAAAATATTGAAAAGTAATCAAATGCTTCGCGATCAAATTAGCGCTATGAATTGAATGTGTATACACCCGAAGGAAATTTAACTTTGCATTGTAATTATTATAAGGTGAAATTACATAGGAGGATACATAAACTGCCACCGCAACGATTCAGTGCGTAGATGAAAATAATAATGTGAATAAATGGGGCAGCATGGAATATGTGAAGGATGTAATTTATTAATTGTGGATATTTGATATAACACATATTTACGTGTACAACTTTAAGTGGTACTTTATCGTCATTCTGGTAAAATGGCTTTAGGACTAATTGTCATTCACGTTTAACTCACTATATAATGTAATAACATCATGCCTAATTTAATGGTACGTTTCATGATTAATATCTGTGAATTAATTACATTTTCGCTACAGCACCAACATTAATGCCTTTCTGCCTTACATAGCTCGAGAATTTTCTTATAAAATTCACAATCAACATAAATCATTAATTGCCAGGCAAATATGAGAAATGAAAGTCCTCGACGCTTTTCATGTGATTTTTGCACTGATTACAAGTGACTTAAAGGGGAAGAAGAAGAATAGAAATCACGAGAATGGAATTTATATTTTGATAATAAAAAAAAATCTTTCTTTTTCATGTCATTAATCATAATTTTTCAGCATATTCTTGCACAAAGAATTCATTATTCTTACTTTGTCTCTTAAATTCTCGTTGATTTATGAACTGAACATATTAATGAATACGAATTCTTAGAATGCATTGAAACCAGACATAAGATTGTCAAGAATATTTTTAATTTTAGGTATCAAGCACCAAATTCAATTCAATCCAGCAATTTTTGAATCCCAAGCATATAAAACAGCGCTTTATTAATTCATCCTACTGTGCCTTACTAATAATTTTTTTCTTAAGGATCTTTCATACTAATTTTTCTTCTTATTCAGCTCACCCAATTCATTTTTCTTTCTTCCTCTTCTAGAGTGTTATTGTACGAACAATAATAAGTTGAGATATATCGCAAATTGAATGAGAGTAAAGTCATTATTTTCTTTCTACCTTTTCATTCATTGTGAATTCAGATAGATGATAAATTTATACATTGTTGATTTATTCATTGGATGAGAAAAATGTGAATGATCATTTAAGCACTTTGACAAAGAATGATGAATTCAATTTTCATTTCTTCTGAAACTTGTAAAAATTACTAGAAATTTGTATTTAATTATTATTTCTTCTAATAAAGGAAAGTATTTCATATTTGGTCTATTTATCACGTGCCAGCTCAAAGTTCTGGATCATTAAGTCAAATGAAAAAGGCCATAACAATAAATATTTTCTATTTTTATTAACAAATCAAATATCCATTAAGTTTTGATTGTTAAGAACATGAATAATAGAATTTGAGTTTTCTTTGGCTATTTAATTATATTTGAATCAAAGTTTAGAGCTATTAAGGCTTAAGTATTTGATTTCATATTAATTTGACTTTTAGAAAACTATTTGGGATCATTCAACGATGACGATTTCAACATAGCCAATAATATCAATGGTGTTTATCCACTATAGCAGTGTTGTCAAAACTGAAAAACTTTCCTGTTTTTTATCGTTATAAGCTGGTAGCTTAGTAGAATAAAAAGTTGATTTTTTTGGCTCACTAGTAGCTTAGTAACGAGTAGTAGCTTATAACGAAAAAACAGGGTACCTATTTTTGGGATTTTTAATATTTTTCCAAGCCACACCTAAGAATGTCCTACGACACACCAGTGTGCCACGGCACACAGTTTGGACAACACTGCCTATAGTTAACCAATCTCTCTTGATCTCTTGATTTATCACAAATTCGCTTCTAACCCTTAAAAAATATAATAATACTCCTAATTACACATTTTAGTAGGTGCCATTTCCATGAAGCAAGGTTCATCATTTCATACTTACAGGCTCATCATTAATATAAAAAGTTAAAATAGATCTCGGTGATGATTTTCCGGATGTGCAATTAAGACTTAGGATATCTCCAATTTGATATTGCTTCTCCTCGCCTTGTATCACTGGACCGGATGTGGGTAGATCTAGTTGTAGGAGAAAATGAACAAAGAAAGAAAAATGAAATAAAACTTGTTGCAATATCATTATTATATTCTTGTGTTATATTTATGTCTATATGTGCTCAACACAAAGTTTTCTCTTCTTGTGTACACAAAAGGGGAAGAATAGACCAAAAAAAAAGAAGAAAAATTATCTTTCATAGCTGAGAGAAGAACCAAAGATTTCGAAATAGAAAAAAATGAGAGGAAGGAAGTATCCCTCTCCATCCCGAAGAGGCAGAAATGCTGTAAACTGTATCAATTAAGTGTAGCATGAAAGCGACAAAACAAGTTTCCAATTAAAAAAACTTTTCCATTTAAAAGTGGATAAAAAAAAGTTGAATTAGTTGAATCTTCCCATGCTCTTTCGCTCCCTCTAACTTTTGCTTTATGCTTGCGTCAAATATTTTTCTTTCTTGTTAATGGGAAATAATTCGTTTTTCTTTCTTTCTGCTGAAATGCTGAAACTTTGTATATTTGCTTAGACAAGCGTTGTTTAACTTTCAAATAATAAAAGAAAAATTGAATTAAGCTGTGAAATTTTTTCTCTCATTTTTTTTCATCTCATTCATTTCCATCATATTTCTTCATTTAGTCTTATTAATTAGTAAGGAAATTGTGAGCGTGCATTAGTAATTGGGCAATTTCACCATGAAGAGAAGTTGAAATAAAGCATAAAACTTGGTTGATGATGTACGATAAAGATATAGAAATAAAAATCTTTATCCAACATTGTAAGTGAGCAAACAACAACGGAAAAGCAATTAAATCTTTGCAAGGTTAGGGGATAAAAAAAAATCATTTATGCTTTACGCTAGCCAAACATCGTTTCTTTCGATATTTTATGTTGCTTCATATTATTATTATTTGTTCATGCGACCTGAATACAATTTTTCTCCTTTTTCGTTTCAGGTGTCTTTGGGGTGAGTCATGCGGGACCAATTCATTTTCTTTATTCTTTTTTTTCATTCTCTTTCTTTGAAGACTGAATTCAATGATTTAGTTTTTCTTCAATTTTCTCTTAACTCTGTGATTTTTTTTTAATTCAAGGTTTGGGTTTCATGATATGAAAGCATGATTAAGAGGAGATCACGTTAAATACCAAAGTAAGAAAATTTTCAAAATTGAGTCTAAGCCTAAGTTTTCATATTAAAAGCTATTATCAAATCTTTATTATTGTAAATTCAGATAACTTGTTTCAATGCCTTAAAAGTGAATATTTTTGAAACAAAAGCCACGAAAAAATTAGTATGGCGTAGAATATTAAACATCAAGTATCAAAAACCAATCAGTTAACATCTTTCTTAACTCATTGTTTTCCCTACTTCCTATAACGTCACATACAACATTCATTTATATTTATTCACAGTACAATTCATAGGTTTTGATTAATGTGTTTGGGTGCCTTTTTGTCATAAATTTATATACACATAAAGTATAGTTCGTGTAAATGTATTTCCATTTTCTAGCACTTTTGCTTCCGGCATCTTAAAAGCCATTATTCTAAGCACATAATATACACAAAACAATTTTTTTTTTCAATCTTTGAGTGATTTCAAATTGTTTCAGTAATGCATTTAAACACTCGTGTTTTTAGAACAAATCAAAATTTCATACCTCCATTTATACAAATGATTGATGTTTGAAGAGCAAATAGAAATGAGGCTAAGACAAAAACCTTTTTTAATAGTAAAAGTCTCTTATTAGAGACACTTATGACCAAACCCGAGAGGAAGGTAGGTCTGGTCTTCATAAAACAATTGTCACATGTTGGGTAGTGAGGGATGGTGTTAAATGTCGATTTTTTTACGTTAAGTAATAATAAACAAATTGCGGTGTATTTTAAAAGCTTTATTTTCAACTACAGAAAATAAAATAAATTTAAGGGGATAACAGCGTGATGGAAATTTTTAAAATGAAATTTTTTCACCATTTCTACCAATCCTCATTAACATTTGAGTGGGTAATTGAGTTTATCCCATTGTGATAAGGATTGAATATCACATTCAAAAATATTGCTCGAATAGTGAGTAAAACCTTATTTTCATTATTCAATAATTTTATGTAATATTGAAACTACATTTCTATTAAGACAAAAGATTTATGAAAATAAATCATGCTTATTTCAATGAATGTGTTTCAAGTATCTCAAAATATGTTTCGGGTATAATATTTCCATTAGCAACAAAAGAAAGGGAAAAAAGTATACCTAAATTTCAACATTACACATTACAAATCCACCTGTATGACTCAATGAGAGAATGAATCGCAGGAAAATTTCCGAGGGTTTGATGTCAGAAAAGCACCTGAATGGAACTAAAGTCGTTCATAGAGGTTCAGAGTCGAAAAGGAAACAAAGTCGAATGAAGAAAAAGGTAAAAAGACTAAAACTCGCTCTTTATTCCATTTTTCAATTGAGTTGTTCTAGGAAATGACTCTGCAAAGCTACCATACTCCTTCTTCCTTCTTTTCCTTTTGTACTGTAAATGCTTACATTACTCACTCGTTTTACATACAATGTAAATTCTTTTTTGTATTTTTTAACTGCTTGAATATGTTCAAAGCACAACGAAATAAGGAAAGAAGATTCAAATACAAAAATATCATGTATGTGTACGGATAATACCTTACGTGTGTATGGATGTTACTCAAAAATGACTTCGTAAGATATCTTGAAAATAAATTCTTTTTTTTTTTTTTTGGAGTGAGAAGCTCTATATTTCAACTGTTGTTGGCTAGAATAATATACACACATTGTAATATAAAGCTAAACATTAGTAGTGATTTTGCTGTCATTTTGACTTTTCGCTGTGAAATTATTTTGAAAATTTATATTATGTTGCTTATGAAAATATGTATACAAAAAGATGTTGAATAAAAGAAATTATAAGCTGACACAGTAGAGCTACGGTTGTAGATTTTAATATCAGTTGAAATGTTTGGCACAATAATATCCTGTCTACATAAAATATACAGATCTAGCAAGTCTGTAACTATAATATAATGTGCATGTACATAAGACTATGAGAATGAAAAAAGAATTTCAACATTAAAATCCATGCCGAATGGAGAATAAAATCCTATTTAAAGCCTTTAACATTTCACATCAGCTCCTTCTGAGAATGAAAGTTTATATGCTCACATTTATTAGTGTGTATACATGTAAATGTATATTTTCATAATTTATGAAATAAAACGCGAAATGCATACAGAAAATAAATTTTATGAACACTAATACCATAACAACAAGAGGATCAACATCAATTTATTGCAAGGGAAAATCTGAATTGTGTAATGTGTAGGATTAGCACAATCAACTTCAGAAAGTGTTGTTTGATAGTTATGTGAGTTGCTTCTTCAAACATACTCACGAGCGTAAGTTTTTTCACATAGAAATAATTTAAAACATAGCAGAAGGTCCTCGATTAGTAAAACTATCTCTAGTGATAAAATTGATCAACACGAGGTTGTAAGTCTGGTTGTTTCAGTCGAGTATTTTGACGACTGGTAATAATAGGCTTCCCTAGTATTAAAAATTGACTATACTTTGAGGTAAAATGATGCACTTTCTGTTGCATTCAAGTAATGCAAAATCTCAGACTCTTTTTGCCGTAAATGATGAAAATTCATACTTGCTTTCTAATGTGCATATTAAACTTAAAACCATTTATATGATCCTTATATTGACTTTCTTAATTTCAGGACTTTTTTATTCAAGTTTAGACATAGCAAGAAAACTAATTACAGCATGAATTGCTCCAATGGAAAACATGAAAGGAATCTTTTCAATCCGTTTACATTCAACAACTCAATTTGAATGGTTCGGTGTGAATAGTTGTTCTTAATCGCTCATTAAACTTTCTTTTTATTATTTTGAATAGCACTGCCAGAGAAATGCTAATTGGCATATTAAGCTGAATCGCTTCATTAGAATTTCTGTAATTAACCAAGCAATTCAAATTCTTTTCTCTACATTTATTCAATCTAAAGATGCGAAATATCTTAAAGTAATAAAAGTAAATGCCTTTAGAGCCTAACACAAAGGATAACCATTTTTAGCAGTGAGTATGAAAAAGTAGACGGAAATGAGAAAACATGGGCAGTATTATGAATGTTTGTGCAATTAAAATTCGTATATACTTACAAATAACTTCTAACTTCTGTTCGCCCGTTACTGTTTTGAAATCAGGCTCTTCCGCAGAAATTTCACAGCGATAAGTCCCTGTCGATTTGAGTGTAACGCCTTTGAGATAAACTTTTTTGCTATTTGATGCTTGATGCTGGAAGAATAAAAATAAATTACATTTGTTAATATTAAATCAATGCAGAAAGAATTTTAATTCATATTATAAAGCTATGTCTCATCTAGTCGAAAAATTTTGTGACGTTATTCAACGGAAATCATATTTAGAACAATTTTTTTTACAAATTTTCAATCCCTTCTGTTTCTCTTTATGATGTCCACTAAATTTGAGAATATAGTTTACAAAGTTTTATGGCAAGTCCTGAAGGCACTTTATCCTGAACATATCACAACAATTAGTTTGGATGTGGCTAAGATGTTATTATCTCAGGATCAATAAAAGACTGCTAGATACTGATATCGACAAAGAACACCTTAGTTTCGATCTAGACTGTTTTACAACTATTTATAAGCTTGACGATTGTGAGTTCATTAGAACTATTTAAGCACTCAGAAACCTAGAATTTTCAATTTAAAAAAATCCTGCAGAATTTAGCACTACAATTTAAAATAAATTTTATTCCTTCACGTTCCTGTCTTTCACTTTAATTTAAAATTTCGTGAAGGTAATTCATGCAATATTGAAGCTCATCATCATGACTCTAATTATTTGTTTATTTGTTCTCACAATCATTGTACGTAATAATAGCAATAATTACGGACAAAACAGCAGTAAATTTTGTTCTTTCATTTATTTCATGAAAATGTTATTGTATCAAAGAGGAATTGAGAAAATGTTTCATGACAACAAGCAAGCAAGCTAGCAAGTGAAGCAGGAGACAAGGAGAAGAAGAAGGGAAAGAAGAAAAAAAAATAAAATAAATATGCAAATTTAGCTTTATTGAATTTAAATTGTGTTATCAGAGTAGATTGGCATGGAGGAGTATAAAAAGTCGAAGTAGGGAATAACACAAGAATTGACAATTTGTCGCTATTTGAAAAAAATTATTTTCTATCTTGATTGCACAAAAACAAAGTGGCAGGTATCAACATTCAATTAGCAGATATTTTAGATTATTCTGTGATATTGACAGATGAAGGAGGTGTAAGTGTATATGGTGCTGTAAATCTCCCATCTTCTTCAATTCGAACTCCATTTATGCAATTTGGCATCGACAAAATACTTTTTCCTTCATGATAAGCACCAAAAAGTGGGTGGAATTTCAATATCAGAAATGTGAAACCATACAAGGTAGGGAGGAGCAGCAGCTGAGGAGGATAAAAAAAATTCCTACTAAGAGCTTACAGCATTTTTATTATTCAGTCTGTAGAATCGGTTCTTGCAAATGAGGGATGACAGCCCTCTCTATAAAAATTTATCTTTTTCTCTCCTCACTCTGTATTTTTATGTATATATGTGTCTATAGCTTCATTCATACTGAAGAATGTGAATATATATATTTTTGTATGCTATATCGCTTTTGCCTTTTCGGCTGAATAAAAAGTAGAGAAAAAATGTGATTATGTCTTCTGCCAGAAAAAAGTATACACAGGAAACAAATTGAGTATAAAATTGTTATGTATAGACGGTTTAATGCTTAATGCAAATTTTATTAACACAGTTTTCTCTCCTTTATTCCTTTTTTCATCTTTGCTGGAAAGTTTTCACAGTACTTGAAGCTTTTTTCATCCTTACTTCCTTTTCTTTTTAAAAATAAAGAAAGTTTCACTTCCTTTTAGGAAGCATTTTGTAGATCGGCAACAAAATATCTTCATTCATTCATTCATTCATTTAGGAAAGAATAATACGCCTTTGGATACAAATAATTTTAGCTCGCGGACTTCTTTCTCTAGCTGTGAAGATATAAAAGAAACGCAATATGACCATGATTTCGATACGAAGAAAAAGGATAACTTTTAAGAATAAATTTTAATTAGCGTATAATGGAACGTACAGTGGAAATAAAAACAAAAGGACGAAGAAGAAAGAGAAAGAAATAAAATGTCCAAAGGCATAGAGGAGCTAAAAAGGGATAAGAATTAATGGATGGAGTGCCACACAGCGTGGAATTGAGATAAAGTTTTCTTTCTGTCTCAATGAGATTATAAGCTTTAGAGTTTTATTATATTTTGCAATGTATATTTTTCTCATTTCTTCAAATAGAAGCATCGACCGTGAATCTTAGATCAAGTTAACAGTATTTATTTTTCATGTTTATTGAAGAGAATTCATCCCTCCAAGTATTAATAATAAAACTCTTCTATTTGCATTTCATATTGTCAGGGTTGGTAACTGGATGCTGTCTGCTCTTAACTAGATTCTCAAGCAACATTGAATTTTTGGTTGCCTAATCTGTCTTTGTGTTATGATTAAGTGGTGAAAATTTTATGCTAAAACGTTTCCTCTCAATATAGTTTTCCCATAACTATGACTTCGATGCCAGTATTAAAAACTGCCTGAAAAGTGACATGGCATAAGTCAATTGAATCGCAATGCCTACAGCTGAAAGGCTGGACCTTTCACACATTATTATTATTATAATTCATTGACATGCCATAGGGTAAATTAAAAAAATGTTATGTTGGGCATCAAAAATTGTCAAAAACCTTTCTTTGCGACTACAATATATGTTTGAAATAATAGCATGATTTTAATCACATCATAGAGATCAACCCTGCAACATGATTTATCTACAGTGAAATTTTCATCATAATTTTAAATGAAATATAAGAGCTTCAATAGTTTACCATAGCAATAAGAGAGACTTGGGAAAAAGTAATTGAAATTTGTACTCACATCAACTTTTATTCCTTCAACTGTTCACAGCATATGCATGCACAAAAAAATAAATTAAATTAAAAACCAATAAAATTTTCTCAATGTATCGAATAAGAGATTACGACCTACCTTTATAACTATTTTGTGGAGGATTTGATTTTGGAACATATCGATAAAATTCTTCTCCATCCTTATACCTTTAACCCACACGTACATTTACGTTGGTTTTTTTGTGAATCGAGAATTGATTGATCGAGAGTAAAAATGAGATGATAAAGTAAAAAGGTTAGTAAATAAAATTTCAATGAGCATTAAAAAAGGATTATTATGGTAATGAGGAAATATTTATTTTTGGTATGAACGATACTGGGTAGCAGAGCTCTGCTGAGCGTCAATTATCTGGTTTGAAGATCCTGAACTCATTTAAGTCTTGTCTTTCCAAGGCAGATTAAAAAAATAATTTTGGAAAGTATCGAAAAATCAAATTTGATGTACAAGATGTTCTAGACTGATTCAATTTCATATTTAATTCATAAATCAAACTTTCAAGTTCAAGAACACGGAAGAAATGAAAGAAGAAAGTTCAATATATTCTTACCATTTCACAGAATATAAAGTCTCGACATCTCCATCCTGATAATTAAAATGTGAATTATCGATGTCTTCATCGCCATCGGAATCTCTACTTCCATTAAGCTCATAGTCGCATTCAAGGATTGCGTTTTCTCCTCGAAATTTATATTGTGGAATATTTATTCTATTTAATCGCAGACTTTGCACACCTGTGAAATAGATAGCAATAAAAATTATTATAAGCATAAAATTCTACTGATAATAATAAAACTTTCCATTAACTATGTATTTCGTTGGATGTTGGATCAAAACTCAAACCAAAGAGTTGTTGAAACCACTCAATAAATGTCAATGATCATTTTAAATATGTAAGTTTAAACAATAATAGAAACGACTGCTCCAGAATCAGCTCTTCATTTTTTTTAAACAACTCGTTTTATAATTTCTGTAAATTTGTACTTTTCAAAATTATTATGAAGATTTTCAATGCAGAATTAAACCACGCACTATTCGATTTCCGGTCAAGTGCTGAGTACTTAAAAGGAATAGGCTTTACCTTTTGTACCTTAATATTCTGCTGCACATTAATATTTTACAATGCTAATGATATTTTAACGAGTGAGGACTTGCCAGACCTTCCGCTCAAACCTATTGCAATAATTAAGTACCAAAGTCCTAAACCATTCCGACGCATTTGTAATTTTGCTATGTTGCATCAAAAACTTTTTTAATGAATTCTTAAATTTAAGAATTCTTAGTTTGAGCAAGGTTTGAAAATTATTATTTGTGACCTATCCCTCTTTTTATGCAATATTCTTTCCAAAGATCTTTTTCAGTTTTTGAGCTGTTTTAGATCGTCAAAAATTCCTGCTACGTCACTAATTCTGAAGAACGAAACGTTATTTGTGAATAACCCCTAATCCATAATTATGATGAATACTGATGAATACTTTGAAAAGAAGCATCCATAAAAAATCATCACAACCTATGAAAATTCAACGAATGCATATAAAAAAAATTCATAAATGTAGGTATTCCATAATGTCAGGCTGGATACATATAGATACACATATTTTTAAAGCGGAAGTATTTAGCTTCAAACTATCGTTCAAGTACAATGAGGATGAAATTTTCAACAACAGGCAGCATAGAAATAGCAAAAAATATTGTGGCATGTGCAGAATGGGAAATGCATTGAATTCAACGAATATGAAAATGTTCATAAATTCTTTAGAAGATTTTTTTTTCATGAAACGAGCTCCAAAAAAAATCAATAAATTTGATTAAATATTCATACATAAAAAAGGTAGGAAGTAAAGATGTGATGTGCTGAGCTGATGAAACAACAACATAGAAAGATGTCAATTCATTGTGATAGTAAGCTGACAATCCATTGTCATTTTCATTCATTATTTTCATAGTTACAATGATAGTAATGGATTTGTAATAAGGATTAGTGGATTACTATCACATCCCATATCAGTCTAATAATATTCAGCTGACATTCCTATAATTTGCGTGCATGTGTTGTAATCTAAAACAATAAATTTAGGTCTAATCCTCATATCATACATAGATTGTGCTATACATCATGGAATCTATGTCATAAAATGTCAAAAACTGTTTATCTTTTTCACATCTATGAAAAATTGCCTTCCAGTTCCCACACTCTTATCAGTTTTAAAGAATACTAAAAGATCTATTTTATCAATTCACAAATTAAATCCCTTTGACATCACTGATATAAATGAGTATATTTTCTTATCACTTTGCAATCGCAAAAAATATCATTATCACTTCATATGTGTAGGAAGAATTATAAGCTTCTTTATTATTAAATGATAAATGCTAAAATAAAATTTATTTTCGATTTCATTTTTCGATAATTAGAAATTTTTTTTTCACGATTTATTTTTTTTTAAGCAATAAAACAATCAGTCGTTCATAAAGGTTCGATAAATTCACATATAGCAATGTCTACTACGCCAGTCCAATCACCAATTGCATTGGAAATAAGGGAAGCAGAATTCAAGGATGATGCACCAGCATTGGAATATGTTGGACATTGGGATAAAATTGGAGGCAGTGCTGAGATGGTTAATACAGGAACGTCGGCTATGATATTGCTACCTAATCGTAACCGCAAACCATACATAACTGGAGGTCCATTAAATGATAAATACATTTTTGAGCAACTTCATTTTCATTGGGTATGAAACGTGAAACGATTTCTATATAAAACTTATAATATTGAGAATGCAATGAACTAAAAGAAGAAAAAAAAATTATTGCAGGGTGATTCCAATGAGTACGGATGTGAACATTTGCTAGAGGGAAACACGTTCTCAATGGAGGGACATTTGGTTCATTACAACTCAAAATACAAGAACTTTCAGGAAGCTGTCACAAAACCGGATGGTCTAGCAGTGACAGGATTTTTTATTCATGGCATTGGCGATAAGGATTGTCCTGAATTCAAGAAGATTACAGATGGAATTGAACGCGTTACAAAACCCGGTACCAAAACTCGTTTGGGTGCTGATTGTTTGTCATTTTTAAAGCTCCAAGAGTTGAACAAACATTATTATTGGTAAGCTAACTTGCTATTTCATTTATGTCTTATAAAAGTGTAAAATTGCAATTTTAAAATCCAATTTTCTTCTACTTTATTATCGATAGTTATCGTGGTAGTCTTACAACACCACCATATAATGAAGTTGTTCAATGGATTGTATATCGCACACCAATTTATGTATCGGAAAAACAAATTGCAGTATTTAGGTCGTTAATATGTCAAGATGAGACAAAGTGCATCGTTAACAACTATCGTGATGTTCAGCAGCCTGTTCGTTCTCCAAAAATTATCTTTACTCGCAATATACTTAAATCGAAATTGTAAAAAAGAAGTATAGCTATGTATGTTTTGTACGTAAAAGAGCACAAAGTACTGTATCACAAGAAGGAAGAAAAATTTTTATGTTTCTGTTGCAATAAAAACATTTTTTTCTTCATTCCATCTTCATTGCTATCTTTCGTTTTTATTTTTCATATTCTTTCTCTTCCTTCACATTCCTTACGGCACACGAAATAACGTGAGGAAAGATTTGTGTGAAGACATGATGATGGTATGTACGTATGAAATGAATCGAAGAGATGGTGGTGAAATTCACATTACCGTTTCAGTGGCTGAGGTGCTTTCTTTCTCTTTTGCCTTTTTAAAGATTATAACATTTCTTTTTCTTTCGCAGAATGCACGGAAGTATCATGATCATATAAAAAATTCTTGAAGCAGATTTGTGTTTCTCTTACATTGCTCTATTGCCATTTCATACATTTAGACGATTATCAAGGGATGGAATAAATTAATGGTAATAATATTTTCTTTAATTTAATGTTTTTTTTTTCACGTAATGAAAAATGTTTAGGATAAGCAAATTTTAGTGTCATTTTTTTGCAAATATTTGGTATAAAATTAAATTGAGTACTTAAGATTACGACGTAATGTCTTATAAAGAATTTTATCATTTAAATGAATTTTTAAAGATAACGATAAATATGGTTTAAAAAGTAATCATTTCATATGTATATCTGAATTATATAATAGATGTGCATTTTTAAAAAATTTCAATTTCCTAAACCTACAATTTATAGTGGGATCCGAACAACTTCTTTGATGAGATTTCTATCTGTAGCCTACAAAGGAAGGCTGAGAACCTCATTTCCAATACATATGATTCGAAAAAGATCAAGTGAAAAATTTTTGATACCCAGCCTCGAACCCATGATCGCTGAGTCGGTATTGCAATAATTAGGTACCGAAGTACTAAACTATTCTGCCAAGGAGCCACTTCAGCTCACGTATTTTTGATCAAACATTTAATAAAGAGACAGTAATGAGAAGGTCAACAATATAGCCAGATTCAGGGCAATTTAAGGAAAATCATGGATCTTAATTGATCTGTTTGGTCAGCGAATAGAGCTCTTAGTACTTACTTCCTGCACTTCGTTGGTCGAACAGATCAATTGGGATCCATGGCCTCTCTTAGACAGTGTCTGAAGCTGATTCCATCTTGACACTTACCATTACCAAGTGCAATACTGTATTAAGCACTTTGTAGTCCCTGTTTTATAGCCAAACTAGTCTGGCCCAAAATTTTACATTTTGTTACGTTGCTCACTCTAACTTCAGTATTAAGTCATTTTTGAATAAAAAAAATTTAAAAATAGCTTTTCAGTAATGTTCAATCCTTGTCATGCTTTGTATTTTTTTGTCATTTTCTCTTTTCTTTCAATACTGTTTTTTCATTTTATTTTTCCAAGTTTATTTCACTTTATATCATTTTCTCTTTATCACTGCCATTTCTTGTCGTATCGCCTTACTTTTCCGTTTATTTTTTTCCGTACACATTTCTTTCTCCACAAAGCGGCAATGAAAATATGAACGTTTTTTACGAGTTTAATTTTTAATGAAATGCAACAGCAACGGAAAAAGTACACACGACTCGCTACAGAGATTTATAAGATTGTACAAGAATTTTTATTAAAATTACAATAAATTTTATGCATGCTTTAGCTTTTATACTAAGCTTTTCCTTTCTTTCTTCTTCTTCTTCTTCTCCTGTAACAATGAGAATGAGAATTTTCCTTTCTTAATCTTAATGAAATTGTGGAAGAAGGAAGCGTTGATACAAAGCATTTTTAATTCTGTAAAGTAAAAGATAGTAAATGTGAGCGAAAATGCAGTAGGACGGAAGAAATATGGGAAATAAAATTAAATTTCAACAATTTAGGAACTGAATTTATAAATGTTTTATATTTAGGTACGGATGTGAGAAACAAATTCCATTGTTTTTATATTTAGAATGTCATTGATGATAAATATTGCAATTAAAAAATTACAAGGGTTGAAATAACCCTGAATTTTCTAATTTCCTCAATGGAAATGCAAAAGTTTATTTTAGTGACATTTTAAAGCACAAAAATGTTGATCCTTGAAATAAAACTTTCTATTTATGTTTTCTAAATTTGAACTCCATGCTTTAAGTTCAAACATATCTGACCATGAACTTGATCATATCGTTGAAATGAAAGATGCCCGTATGCTCAGCCATAATTAATTTTAAAGTCATTCATAAAGGATTTCAATGATAATTATTCCTACATTTATATTTATTATAAAACTATTGAAATTCAAAAGAAAAAGAAATAAATAATTAAATTGCTTTGAATGGTTTTAAAAATAAAAATAATTTTTGAACTTATTAAATCTTTTACTTGAAATTAAGAAATAGTTCTGACTAGTTGAGGGTTTTAAAAATTTGACTCACAAGAAGTTTATGAGCAATTTGATAACTAGGTTTCTGCTGTTGTCAGCTATATAATTTCCAAAAAAAGCAAAATTATTCTACAAGTAAACATTTTCCTTTAAAAATCGATTAACTTGAAAATTCCGCATTTTTAATAAAGGATTTTAAATGAATTAATTAATGTTTAATCGTTTAATAAATTTTGGTATTTTTTACATTTGCATCGTTTAGTCCTACATTTCAATTACACAAATTGAAAAATCCAATTTAAAGCATTTATCTCTTATATTTTATTCGCTACAATCAATTATACAATTATGTTTGCATTAATGTTTGTCACACACTATGTGAGCATATGAATGATTGCGCTTATGCAGATATAGCTTTATTCAATTCTATAAAATCAAATTAAAATTTCAATTATGCCAATACAACTATTTTTGTTGAAATATTTTGTAGATAAAATTTTCGCTATGGATGAATAGGGGAAATAATTTGTTAATTGCACGTTGTTTATAGAAATTTCCTGCAAATTCAGAATGCATTCACATGTATGTCGTTAGTGATATTTATGAATTTTTAATTATGAATTATTTACTTCATTGCTCATTTAATGTACTTACAATAATTAAGCCATAACATAAATTGCATACAATATTATTCTCACATTTTATTTTCCATGTCTATGCAGCTCATCAACAAAACAACTTTTTACAGTCAATGAACAATATAATAATAATAATAATAATAATGAATAATTGATAGTTTGTTGTCGTGAATGGAAAATATACGCATATGGGAAAATATGATTGAATGATTATCCGCATGATTAAGCAATTGAAATGCGATTTCTGTTTTTAGATTTTCTTTTCGTACACATTCGATGATCATCATTGCATTCGGTGCTTTCACGATACAACATCAACAATATTGGTAGTAAAAATATACATCCTTTTCATTCATGAATAATAAATCTGACAGTGAATAAGTTGAGAAAGAAATACAAACAAAAAAAATTACATTTTTCCATTAACGAATGAATTTCACTTCACTTCTCGTTCGGCACCAAACTAATGTATCGGAGATGAATATTTAATTAAAATGGAATTATATGATAATAAAATATTTTCATTGATAACACTACGTTCATATTTTTCGTAAGTGTATATTCAATTATGTTTATATCTTTATTTCAATTCTATCGAAATTTCATATCAATACGTAAAAGTATCATATGGAACGAGAAGATTCTCCATCTTCCCATTCCCTTTCTCACTTATCCGTACATATATATTATGAGTTAAATTTTATTTTACACATTCTGATTGTTTCAATGCTGATAGCGGCAAATGAATGTGAAAATAATTTTCCATACAATTTCAATCGCATTCACACAATATGTAGAGAACTCGTGTTCATTAACACAATTTTATGGCTGATAAGCAAAATATAGAAAAATGGATAATTCAATCATCATTGAAATGGAATTCATTAAAGCTTCAATTGTTTGATCATTTTCACCACATATTTTTCAGATTACTTTTATTGGAAATCACCAGAGATCGAAGCCGATTTTTTCGGCTTAACTCAATTTTTGATTTTTTTGATAGAAAAAAACCAATTGACACCCATTTCAAGTATTTAAATTGAACTTTACATGCTTTACTATGATTCTGTGTAATATTTTGTCAGCATGAAGCTATAGTAAGCTCAGAATTTCAATTTAGCCGATTTTAAGCCGATCGGCTTAAATTTCGGCTTAACATTCTTTAACTTGAAATTCTGAGCTTCCTATAGCTACATGCTGACAAAATATTACACAGAATCATAGTAAAGCATGTAAAGTTCAATTTAAATACTTGAAATGGGTGTCAAATGGCTTTTTTCTATCAAAAAAATCAAAAATTGAGTTAAGCCGAAAAAATCGGCTTCGATCTCTGGAAATCACATTTGGAAAATATGTTCTACTTTTTAGTAATAATTTACGCATTTATGATATCGTCTCATTTTTTGATTAGACTACATCGTTGAAAATTTTGAAATATAGATTATCAACTCTTGATGAAAATATTTTGCAAAAGGTTTTCAAACAACTAAGCAATTTTAAATTTCCTACATTAAAGGTTTGCGTTTAACGAGATCTGTAAAATGTTATATTTCTTTTTCTCAGCAACTTTAAGTTCTAGTTTGTTTATAAACATTTATAGATATTAAATATCCAATCAAAAATTAAATGATTCCTTAATGACGACAGGAACACAAATCAATAAATTAGCTTTAGCAAATAGATTTTAGTTTGAGACCTTTTCATATTTTCTTTTAACCCCAAAAACCTCAAAAGGGAATTATCAATTAAAGTTTCTCTAAATCATTTTGTTATACATAAATTATCAAAGATGTTAAATTTTCTCTTGAGATTCAAAAATAAATCGAGCATTTAAATTATTCATAAGAATGTTTCAATAATATTAATAATAAAGTTTTAGAGAATTAGAGATCCATTAATGAACAACGAAAAGTTTGAACAAAAAAATGATTTTCCAATTTCTTTAAGCAGAAAGTTCACTTATAACTTCCAGGGGGAGGAGGGGAGGGGGGCTTGGTGGATGTCCAAAGAAAAGAACAAAAGAAATTAAATCATTAAAAATGTTACTAGTAATAATCATTATTGTCAATTTGCTACAACTTAAGATGTTAAAGCTTTTTTTTTCTTGAAAATTTTATTAAACACCAGAAAATATGTTGTCGATGTAAGGAAAAGTGTGCATTAAAGTAAGGAAACTGTAAACATTAAAGGAAAAGTTATAGCAACAACGTGGAGACAAAAAAGAAAATGTAATGAAAAAAAAATTGAAGATGTAGAGAAAAGCTCAAATAATGGGCAATCATGCTCTACGTGACAGAGTATATTGTGGAAATGTGTAATAGCCATCAATAAAGGTAAGTTGTGTACGTATGGTTGTGGAAGGTCTTCATTTTAATTCTTAGGCCATTATTTTAATTAAGCATTATTGTGACCATTGTTTGCATGACAGTATGTTTGTTCGGACATAAATTCATAAATTTATTTGCGTTCATTATAGCTGTCATATTAGTTGTAAATTCGAGTGAAATTTCACCACTGGGAAATGAAAATGAAATAGTCTTTAACCTAAATTGTCCTCATTGATTTTATTTTCTAGTGTTTATTATTTGCTTTAATGTATTCTTTTTTCTTATTTTTTTATTTAGCAAGGAAGTTGAAAAAGTGTTGAGAAAATAAAAACGATAGTGATAAATGCTTTCCATTTTTCTCACAAAAGCACAAGATATGAAAAAAGAAATAACATTGCGACAGAGATAAAGTTTTCATTTCCAACTTCTTTCATTTTCACTAGTCTTAAGGAAAAAAAGTAGTAATTTAAAAGGAGTGAGAGGGAAAGGGAAAAGAGAAATTTCTTTTTCCCAACTCACTTCCTGTCACTTTTCTGTCATTTGATAGTTTTTTTCTACAGTCTCATTTTTTATTCGGTGACATTGCATGCTAGTGACTTAACCTCAATACAGATAAGGAAAAGCTTATTATTATAGAATGATGTTTGTAGAATAAAGTTTGTTCAAGATGAATCATGTACACATGTGCTGTATTTTTATCTTTTTCAAGTTTAATCTAAAAAGTCTTATTTTCAAATTAGGAAAATTTTATATATACTCACTTAAAATTAAGTTTTACACCATAAATTACTCAATTTATAATTGGAATTTTAATCTTTATATTAGGGTCTTATATCAAATCCTAGACCGGATCAAATTTGACATTTTTGAGTAGATTATAAAATGTTGAGTAGGTTGTATTATTTGTATATGATGGATAAGGAATACTAAGAAGATCATAAATGGTTATTATAATAATATATATAGAACATATTAAGCTTCAAATAAAAAATTAAGTCCTGGTTAAAAAACGAATCGACCTTCATTGACTCGTTTTAAGAAGGGGCTACATAATTAACCGAAAATTTGGTAAATGGATATTGCATAATACTTGATACATTAAGAGTAAAACAAAATACAATGGAAAGTTTTACGGTATCATTCCACACATGTTAACACTCACCTTGACAAAACATAATTAAAATAATGGTTAAAATGAAACCCCTTGACTTTGCCATTATGTCAACTCTAATTATTTTTCCGGGTCTTGTATTTATAAAGCTGTGATGTTGCTGTTACTGCAATAATGGTGATGAAAATCTATTTCTCACTTTTCCTGTGCTCTTTTCCTTTTCTGTGCTCACCAAGTTCAATGAATTTATAAAATATTCTGTAAACTTTTCCCAACAACACTTCGAGGATCACATCATGTTGATTGGAATTTTTTTAAAAGCACTTTTTAGTTTAGTTTTAAATTACACTAGGTGTGCTCTTACTTTAAGACAACACAAGTGAATTTCAATTTTCTTAGATAAATCAAAGTTCGATGAAATTTTAAAGTTTTTCTCATGATTGAAAATATTTTATTACTTTCCAATAAAACCTTATATTACAAGAAGATGATATCAGAATCTCATTGTCTTTCACTTAATTCCTATTCATTTCTGTGTATTTCATTTTATTTGCTGTAAAATATGAAGAAAAAAATTTAAAATATAAAATTTTATATTTCTAATCCCGATTTAATTGGACTTTATTCATTCATTCATTTTATTGATTTTCATTTTTCCTCTTTTTATTGGATTTTCCTTCTGTTTTGCACTCGTTTATGAGTAAAAAAATGTTTTACTGCTTTGCTTTGCTCAGGAATTGAGCATTATATTTTCTGCAATACAATCATGGTTGATTCAGAGTGATAATTTGATAGATAAATTTATGACTTTACATACTGTTATCGACCACCAGCAAAAGGTTACCAAAAATCATGTTTTAAAAAAGTATGACCCCTTTTAAACCAGGTTTCGATAATCTTCGACAGGCAAGATTATATGTACTCAACTCTCTGCATACATAAGTCGAAAACCTATCCATTTTTTACATTTATATAGGCATTCGAGGATACAACTCAACTTAATACTGCTTTGTATCGTATTACAATTTTCCGATGAAAATGTGATGAAATTTCAATTTAATTTTCATGCAGGCATAAAATAAGCCTATAAAATTTTCACAATAAATGTCTCACATAGTAATAATAATAATGGTGCATATATCAATTTTCCAATATTATTTTATATAGAAGGATGGAATTTCCTTTCTTATAATGTAACGAGAATGTGTAAAATATAAAGACGAAAAATATTATTTATTCAATTGACTTGTGAAGGCATAAATTCCATTGCTGTTTCTGCTTTTTGCTTCTTTTATTCATTCCAGAAACGTGCATTTGAGTGATTTAATACTATAGAGCTGTATGTTTGAGCTTTACCAGTTTACGTGTATATACATCGATTTCTTGCTCTATGAATGACACCTGAGACAGTAAATGTGCTTTGTCCTGTAATATAACAACACATTTTTTATTTCATTTTTTGCTGCTCTCACTTTTTTTATTTTATTTTTATTTGCCACCAGGAATGTTACCTTGACGACAACGTTTTATGTCCATATACGCTGCACTACGTACAAACGTACACAATAAAGTAGTAAAAATACGAGTGCTTCCTTTTTATAGCACGGGAGGTTTTTGTTTTCACGTGTCAAATGATAAAGGAGAGTTTATAAATGTACATATTGAGAGTGTGTATGCCAAATGCCAAAAATAGAGTTTGTTTCGTCTTGAAGTCTTTCTATAAGCTCTCCAATAAATTTTTCCCACACAATCCTTTCTATTCCTTCTTCGTAATATGCAAACTCAACAAGAAAAAAAATGTGAATAATGAAAAAAGAGAAAACAATCCTTTCCATTGGCATTGGCAATGTCTAGCAGGTAGGTAGTAAAGAATGAAAATAAAAAAAGAACTTTTCTCGAAAAAGGAAGGAAAATTAATGTTTCTCACGATATTTGTTTGGCTAATCGCAAAAGAAATAAAAAGCTTTACTGGACGACAATAAATCATCAACTTCCATACGTTGGGTGTAGAAGTGAAGTTATGCTGATTTGTTTATCTTGAATAGTTAATGAGAAATTATTATTTACCAGGCGCGTAGCCAGGGGGGGAGGGGGGAATTTTGGAACCAATCCCCCAACATAAACTGAAATTTCTTTATTTTGCTAGGGGTTTTATGAAAAATCACAAAAATACCCCCCCCCCCCCTTAAATTCAAAAAGTTCCATTCAAAAAATTTTTTGCCCCCCCCCCCCTCTTCAAATTCTTGGCTACGCCCTTGTTATTTACTGAAGACATCCAATTTAGAAAACGCAAACAAGTTTACTCAAACAATTTTTTTCGTGTTCCTGAAAGAGTTTTTTTTCCAAACTTATTCCTCAAAATTAAGGAATTAAATTTTTATGTGAAACTTTATTATAAACTTGATGATGATGGGTTCCTATTGCTCCACTATGAAGCGTAGGGCGTCCACAAAGCATTTGAATCGCACTCGATTCTGGGCCAAAGCTGCTATTTCCAGCAGCTTCTTGTTCTGTTGTTCCGCCTCAACAGTTGTACGCCAAGTAATTTTCCGTCGGCCCCTAGTCCTATTTCCTTGGACATTCCAGAAAATCGCATGTCTCGCGATGTCTGTATGGTCTTTTTTTAATGTAGGGCCAATCCAGTTCCATTTCCTTTTCCCAACTTCGTCTGCAATAATTTGTTGTTTAGTCATTGCATACAGCTCTGTGTTCCTTACTATTTGAGGATAGTAGATGCCACATATTGCTCTCAGACATTTGTTGACGAAAACTTGGATGCGTTGTGTAAGAGCTTTTGTAACTTTTTAAGTCTCGCATGCGTAAAGAAGTACAGGCTTGACGTTCGAGTTGAAGATCTTCAGCTTCAGTCGTCTCGAAAGTCGGGGGGAGGTCCAGACATGTCGTAATGAGCCAAAAGCTGCATTGGCAATTATGGTATTATTGGTATTGCATTATAAACTTGGATATCCATTTATTTAATCTTAATCAAAATTGATAGTAAAATGACTTTGTCTAGACTCTTAAAGTTTGTGGTAGGTTTCAAACCTTTCATTCTAATAAATCATCCGTGAATTTTTGTGAATTGAAGCTAGCAAGTAATTGGTTTGGCAACTATTTACTGCTATATTTGCCTTAAATTGCCAATACTTTTTTTTAAAAAAACCAGCATGCTTTAAAAACATAAAATATTTTAGAACGCGGAAGTTTAAGTGTTCACATACTAAGATTTTTACAAGAGAATGCCAATAAATCACGCAAAGATAGCTCAAGTTCTGGTCGCATAATCTTAAAATAAAATAGTTACGTCCGACAGTAAAAGTTTGAATGTTCGCATTCCGAGATATTTCCTGAAAACCTACAAATAAATCACATAATGATATTTATGGAGTTGAGTATTTTATCTTAAGCTGAGTATGTAAGTTTTTATTGCTTTCATGATAAAAAGTGTTCAGCATTTAATAACATAAATCTTCATATCAACTTAATATTTTCTGATATCTTTATACAGGTATGAAGCAGTATGAAGTAGTTTGGAGTGTGTTAAGGTAGTAGTTCATTGAATTCAACTATATGCAAACATAAAACTGCATTAACAATTAAATTGAGATAATAAAGAAGTAAAACACAAATGTTTATAGCTAGTGAGTGCTGAGCCGCTTTTCCGCATCGATGATATGAGAAGGAAGAAAGGAATTGAAAAATTCCGGAATTGTTTGTTCTATGCTTATCTTGTAGTCTATACAATACTTCTCATTCTGCATTGCATTGTTTGCCTCCGCTTATACTCGCTAAGCTTGTTTGCCTGCTTGCAAGCAGCAGCAACAAAAAAAAATCCTGTAGCATGAGATTGCATTTCTCAGATTATTAATAAAAAAAAATCTCTCTTTTTCCCTCACTCGATGCGGATGAAAATAAATTGCAATAATATAAACTTTCATTTCGTCGATTTCATAAATTCTCATTGAGATGAGCAACAGCACAAGTAGATGATAAAAATATCTTCTGCATTCAAAACACCCAAAAAATGTATGCGAAAAAAAAATTCAGCTCATCGAAAACTCATTTTTAAAGTCGATTTATTTGCAATATTTCAATCACAATGAAAGCATAAGAATGCATCATAAAATGTTCGTTGTGAAGAGATTTTATCGATTTTTATCAATATGCTTAATGTAAACATTTCAATTGAGTACTTTTCATATTCATTTGAGGTTTTTCAGGAACATCACTATAAAGTTATCATATCAGTGGATTTATTAAAAAATACAGATTTTAAAAAATCTAGAAACTTTAAAGCGGCACTTAAAAGTTCTTGAAAAAAATTTTAAATGGAATAAAATTTTAAAACTTCTTTATCATCAAAGTCAATATTGAAATTCATCATATTTAATCCGTTTAAACTTTTTCAAACAAATATTGTTTTTACTTGTTCATCTGCTTACTTCCTTGTGGGAAACAATTAATGTGAAGTTTTTGAGAAATTTTGTAAATGTGTTTTCTGTGTCTTTTGGTAGGACATTGCTTCCCCTTTTCATAGAAGCTCTCAATTAATACAAAAATTACAGAAGTCCTCGGGTTATTGATCGAGGATTAGAAGATCATTAATTTTAGTGTAATTAACAAATAATTACAATGAATGTCCATATAGACAGTCATTATCATTTAACTGTTTTTTGAATTTCAAATTTATTAACGGTCAATAAATATTTGAAAATTTTTCCGCTAAAAGTTGCACTGCAAAAGCATTAATTAAAGTTTAATTAACAATTTGTTGCAATGAATTTATATAAAGAAAAGGTTTATTATTTCACGGTTTTTTTGAATTCACATTGTAATTTTTACAACGTTAGAAAATAATTCAAATTTCTGAACTCATCGCGTGTTTTTCGAGTGTTTTGTATTTTCCCGAAAAGCAAAATAACGAAAAACAATTTTTACGAATTTTCAAATTTACGAATGTTCATTTTTACGAAAATTTTTATGGTAAAAACTTATAGGATATAATTTGAATCTCAAAAAACCGTTGGATAAAATCAAATATTGAGACAGTTAAAAGTAATTTAATCATTTAAATGCGATTAGATATGATAAAATAATTATTAAAAG